CGTGCATTCTTTTGTATGTACTTTATTTCATCCTCTGGAGTAATATCATTAGGTGCTTTATTATCTAAAGACCTATGAGGAGAGTTGTTATATATGTTGACCAAATCATGCATCTCCTTTGGTTGAATAAACCTATTTTCACCAATAGCATCTCTTATGGTTCTCATAAACCTATTAATAATGCCAAGTACATTATGGTTATTCTCAGTTGTTGTTCGGTATTTTATGTTCTTCTCTCTCATGAAGTCTAAGACTGTTGATGATAAATATGCTGCATCCTCATCACTTGTTATCGAATATACATGAGGTACATCATTAACAAATTTATGAAGTGCTGATAATACTTCTCTTGATCCTTTACCATTCATAGGATATGCATATGCTTTTCTGGTGTTGATATTGATGAACATTAGATAATTCAACCCACCTGCCTCTTTATTATTAATGAAGGTATCCATTTGATAACCATGAGGATGTTTGGATACAATAGGAATAAATTGTGCTTTAGGTACTCTCTTATCATGTACTACTCTTTCATCAAAGTATTTCTTTGCTTCTTCTTCATTTAGATTCTCTTGTTTTGCCATGCTAAGGTATTTGTCCAAGGTCTTCCATTTAGCTTTGTTGTATAATTTTTCATATGGGCTTGGTTCTTCTTTACTCATTTATTTTTTAAATAAACATCTTATCGTATTGAAGGAATTGCATTTCGATTACAAATGAATCTTTAGGAGGTAGTTTGGTTGGACAATTATAATGTGCATCACTATAGAAGTCTATCCAAAACCTTTGGTCCATTGAGTTTAACTTGAAGTACTTAATAGGACTATATTCAACATCACTATCTCCAATATAGTTATGTAATGCTTGTTCACCAATAGATGAATATATTTTACATGGATGTCGGTCCCATATATTATCAAATATTAATGTCTTACTTAAAGTTGAATACTTCTTAGGGTTATTTTGATAAGCTCCTGTGCCTATATTAAACACATCTGCAAAGTCATCATTCCAATCACCAATTTGGAAAAAATTGATAAATTGATTTGAATCTTCCTCTATATTATCATTATTTTTGGTATATATAATTTCATGAAAACCATCTTTATCATAATATCCATCTGTTTGTATATCTCGATATGCAATTAATGAATCATTTTGGGAAAATGCATTTCCATATTGTCCATGCATAGCTATCCAAGATTTCATCGCGGTGTTGACAGCATCAAAGAACCCTCTTAAGTCCCCTTCCTCTGACACCCAATCAACAACATCAAAATTGGCTATCCATTTCCAAGTAGGCTCTTTTTCATATTCTACTTTGAGCTCGTCCTGGTAGAATTTATCAAGTAGTTCTTGAGTTAAAATAGGGTCGTTTATATTTCCTCCATGTAAAACAAAGTAGGATTTTTGTACTTTAAATATAGTCACATTAAATTCTAATTTGCGTCTTCTCTTAATGATATGTGCTGAACGAACACCAACAATAGATTCCCCTTTGTTTGCAGTTGACCATTCTGGTGGGAAATTAAACCAATACCTATTAAACTTAGCTTTATCATGTTGAGCATCCTCAAGGAAGTAGGCTGTTTCGATTGGAAGAGGTGTATTGCCATCATTAACTATATTATCTCGATTAGGATATAGAGTTTTAACACTTGGTGGTAATTCCATTTCGAGTTAAATAAAAAGTCTTTATTTATATGCAACACCTGTTTCTAATTCATTGTTTTGAAGTTCTCGAAGTATCCTCTTTCTAATATCTGGTATATCGCGTTGTCTAAACTTACCATTTCCTTCATGCAAAAAGGTACGACAAGATTCCATTAGAAACACTCCACAATCCTTGTTATTCCTTTGACTAGGTACATCGTAATATTTTGCTTTTAAATCACCTGTTGCTGAAATATTGATCCACTTATTAAGTGTCTTTACCTCTGGTGCCATTGACTTATTCTCAGAGTCATAGCATTCGATTATTTTCTTTGAATATCGAACAATACATAAAATCCAATGTTCTCCATCTGAGCAAATGGGGACAAATACTTTATCGAACTTTGAAAATGACTTTTTACCTGAGATAGGACTTTTCATCAGTTCATGTATTTTTTCTTTATCATTAGTCTCATATGCTATAGAAAGGAGGGTATAAAATGCAGTAGGTAAAACCAATATTTTCTTTTTATCAAACTCTGCCTCATCTTGACCAGGTTGTTTATTCAATCTCTTTCCTTTTTCATATAGAAGTTTCAAGTAGTCATCAATAACATCTTCTTCTATATTTTCATCATTGACTAAACTCCTCCAATCATGAATCCTATTATGTCCTTGGTCTACTGTATACTCTCCTGCCTTCTGTGGTGTCATACGGGGTTGTCTTGGAGGAGGACTAGTACCTCGAGAGGTATGTGATGATGGAAACTGTGGAGGTGGTGATGAAGGAGGAGGAGGTGGTGGAGGTGGAGGTGAACGAGGTCGTTTTGATTTTGTCTTAGGTTGTTTTGATTTTTTCTTAGATCTATCATCCTCGTCTAAATTTGTACTACCTTGAAGTAAACGTTGAATTCTGTTTTGATTGAGATTCTTTTTTGGTGGTAGTGGTGGTGGTGGTAACTCATCGTCTGATAATCTATCTTGTAAATATCTTGTTCGATACTCTCTAAGAGGTCTGGGTAATGGAGCCAATTCTGGTATATCATCTGTTTGAACACCTCTAGTTTTATATTCTTTCTTATCACTTTTCAATGTTCTTTCTTTCATCTGCTCTCTCAGTTCTCTAGCTGCTTGTTTTTCCTCCTCAGTCTTCATTCGAGATATCCTTATGTTGATAATATCATAATGTAATTTTATCTCTGTTAATATACCTTGATTTGATTCTTGGAGAGTATATTGATATGGCTTTAATACTGTTATGTAATGCCCATGTTCATCTTTATCATCTTGATTTTTCTTAATCGCAAACACACAACCTGTAAATTTTGCTTTTGGTCTCTCTCTCTTGAGTCTATTAGCAAATTCAAGTACGTCTCTAAAAGCTATACTAGTATTTAAATATGTCTCATATAATTTTTGTAGATTTATTTGATTATTAGAGAACTTCCATATAGTTTGACCCAAACCTCTTGTTAATCTTGCAACATCTCTATCAACTAGTTTAGGTCGAAATTTAATAGTACCTTGTAGTAGTTGTATTTTATTGTTAGGTTTAGTTTGTGTACCTACATCACTTGTCATTTAAAAATCAAATAAAAGAAAGAAGAAGAAGATGTTGTTTATTTCATTTTTTTTTTATTTCTGTATAAATGGCTAATTACATGACCATAAAAGAGCGTATATATATCCTCTATAAAATAGTGTCTTACCTCTATGAATATAGATGTGAGACTAATGAGGGAGTATGTAATATTTTAATTAATAAGATAAAAGAGTTAGCTGCTGAGTATTTCGAACCTGAATTTCTTGGTGTAATGATGAAAGATGGTGATTTGGACTTTATAGACCAAATAGAACATTTTGCCTTTGAGTTCTTAGAGTACCATATATCTACTCTGCCCTCGCATTTATAATTTTGGGCATATCCCTGTTATAGTTACTATCAGTTGGGGTTACCCATCTTAAGTTACTTAGATGGTAGTCAGCCCTATTCCTATTGATATGGTCTACCTCTATTTTATGTTGTGGGTCATCATTAGGTATGAACTGTCTTGCTATAAGTACATGTTTCAAGTAGTAGTCGCCATTTAGACATACTCGTATATACCCCTTTATATGTTTTGCATCTTTGCATATAAAATGATTACTCTTACGTCTTATAGTAAAGGGGTACCTATTCAGTATCTCATAGTCGTTAGTAAAGCCTTTGAGTGGCACAAATGACATTTACTCACTTTTTAAATGATTCATTTCATTTTTATTTTGGTATGAACAAGTGGGGGAAGATCATTGTTGATAGAATTGATAAAAAAGAACCTCGTCAATATCCTCTTGATGACAAAGAAAGAAACACTACCAAGTTCCCAAAGAAAAAAAAGCGAGTGGGCTTGTATAAGAACTATAAGGAACATCAAGAAGAAGAAGAAGAAAAGTATATAGTGACAGAGTGTCATTTTATTCCCTATGAATATAAAGAGATAGGCATTCAAACTCAAGACCTTTGGGATGTAGGTGTTCAAACTAATGCTGAACTACCTCATATAGAAGAACTACTTAGTAAAATCTAACTTCTTTTATTTTATTTTATTTTATTTTTTGTTGTAGGGTACGAGATTCTCGGGGCTGGTACCTGTGCCGTTTCATAGATGGGCTTGTTGTGGGGATGGGGTACCTGTGCCGTTTCATTGATGGGTGGTAGGGATGGGGTACATGTGCCGTTTCATAGATGGGCGGTAGGGATGGGGTACATGTGCCGTTTCATAGATAGTGGGCAGTGGGGTGGGGTACCTAAGACGTTTCATAGATGGGTGGTAGGGGTGGGGACCCTGTGCCGTTTCATTGATGGGGAGCAGTAGTGAGAACATTTTTATTTTTTTTCTTTTCTTCTTCTTTTCTTTTTCTTTTCTTTTCTTTTTTTTTTTTTTTTTTTTTTTTTTTTTTTTTTTTTTTTTTTAACTAGTTCGTGTTGACGGTGTGGCTGTAGGCCCACCGGAAACCGACTAGTATATACTACTACATGTACTTATATGGTCTGATTATGATACATCAGACTTGATTAGACTTGAAACATTAGTGAATACTCGTCATTTAATTGAAGATCCAAATTATTCTAATGCCAATATTGTTCATGAAACTAATGATTTAATTGACCATTTTCAGATTCATGTTTGTTCTCCAAGATGCCGAAAAAAAAAAAAGATAATTCATGCTGCTTTGTAAATTCTTTTGAATTTTAAATTAAATATATACTTTATTTGATTCATTAGATTGCAAATACCAACTTTTTGTCATTCGTTCTATTTGATTGAAATTGGTTAGCTAAAAAAAAAAAAAAAGTGAAAAAATTCTCTTGGGAGGAATCGAACCTCCTCTCCGGGCTTATCAGACCCGTGTGCTAACCTGTATACTACAAGAGATATCTGTCTATGATTAACTTATTTTATACATATGGATGCTTTTTTAGACCAAATTGGAACTTTTTTTTTATAGGTATGGGAAAAAGTCCGTGCGCGAGCATTTTTCTCATTGGTTCTTAGATATCATTAATACTTTTAATAATAAATATATAATTAAACATATATATTATAATATTATATAATTAAAAATTCTTTTTAGTTTGCACCCATCAAAATATAATACAAAAAAAATAAACGTATGATAAAAATAAACGTACATCATTTTTTATGAATGAGAATTTGATTGAATACCGTGCAGTTTGCCACTTCTTATGGAAGAAGAATTATATAAATAAAGATATATACTGTACAATATCTGACGTTTATGATGAAGAAGTTCCATCACTAAGGACCATACAGAAATGGACAAAAAATATGAATGATGATAACTGGTCGATTTTTGATCGTCCAAGAGAAGGAAGACCAAAAAGAACAGAATTAAAACAAGAAATTCAAAATGTTTTATTATACAACCCTTATGCATCAACTCAAAAAATTGCTGAAATAGTAAAAGCTGATCGAAAAACCGTTAAAAGAGTTTTAATTAATGAATTAAATATGTCAAAGGTCAATTTTAAATGGATACCTCATATACTAACTCAAGAAATCAAAGTTAAACGGATTGAAATATCAAAGGAATTGTTTGAATTTTTAACGAGTGCGAATGATCAAAAGTTACATAAGGTGTTAACACAAGATGAAACCTGGGTTTACTTTATAAACCCTAGAAATTCAATGTGGTTAGAAGCAGGACGACAAATTCCAGAAAAACCAAAACGAATGATTGGATCTAAAAAAGTGATGATCTCAGTAATATGGGGTATCACTGGAATTAAATCAATTACAATGCTCCCAATAGGAGAAAAATTTAATAAGAAGTTTTTTTCTCAAAGAGTACTAGGTGATTTAGCAAAAAGTATTACGACAAATGGATATTTTCTTCATATGGATAATGCTCGTCCACATTTAGCTTTTGAAAAATTGACTGAACTTGGCATAAAGAGATTAGAACATCCACCTTATTCACCAGATCTAGCACCATCAGACTTCTTTCTTTTTGGATATTTGAAAAAATTACTCGAAGGTCAAGAATTTGAAGACGAAAATCAACTTTTTGAAAAGGTTACAGAAATTTTGAATGATATTCCAAAATCTATCTTTAAATCGGCATATGATGAATGGATAAACAGACTAATGATATGCATCGAAACTAAAGGTAATTACATACATTAATAAATAATCTAAATTTATTTAACCTTTATTTTTTATTTAAAAAAATGCTCGCGCACGGACTTTTTCCCATACCTATATTATTTCAACCCTTCTAACTTTTGTCATCATTTTGAATTAAACTTGATATTCACTTGAATTATTTTTAATGAAGTTTTGGCAAAGAATCAATCAAAAATAAAACTTACGGTAATATGCGTTATCATTTTATGCTCTTTCATATTTTAATTACGAAATGTTTATTTGGTATTATAATTTACTAGTGGCTCAAGATACTTTTTATTTTGATAGTAGTTTTAATTTGTACATATTTTATAATGAAAATGAATAAAATGTATATATTAAAGCCGAAATAATTTAAATCATAATCAAATTATTCATAAAAAAATAATTTATTCAAAATTTAAAATTTACAAATAATTAATTCAATATTGAATGAAAATAAAAAACATAAAAAGTAAATTGAAAATATTATTCAAAAAATAGTTTATTGAAAAAAATACTGATTCGTGATATCATTTTTAAAAAAAGAACACGAAATGTGCGATATCAAAAAGATCAATGACGGAAAAGAGATCAATGATCAAACAAAATCAAAGTTTGATAATTTCACATTCAAATCCTATTCTGATCAATATTTATGCAAAGGCCCACTTTATGATTTGCTTTACAACTTATTAGAAAAATTAGAGCCAACTATCCAAACCATTACAGAAGTTGGATGTGGTCCAAACGCACCAGCAAGTCGTTTCTTAAATCAAACTTCAAAGCATGCAATCAATTACACATTTCTGGAGCCCTCAAAAGCTTCAAAAGAACTAATTCCATTTGTTCAAAGTTTGAAGAATGGCTCAAAAGGTGTAATTATTCAACAATCAGCAAGTTCCAAAGAAGCTAAAGAACAACCACCAGCTGATGTTGTAGTTGCTAATAGAATGATCCATGAATGGCGTTTATATGAATTATCACAAAAGCACGAATGGACTGTTAAGGATGCAGTTCAAATCTTGCTTGGCTTAACAAAAAGAGGAGGTCATGTAATCGTTGGTGATTTTTGTTTTGACGAAGAATATGCACAATTGAAAGATGATGATCCTCGTTTAATTGAAGATATGGCTCGATTAACCAAAAGAATTGGTCATTCGCATGAGCCAAGAAATTATATTACATTAGATCAAATCAAAGAAGCTTGTAAAGAATTAGGAGTAGCTATTTCATATAGTCATGTTATTGAAAAGCCAGAACCTGATACACATCGCGTATATTGGATGGCAGTTATTAACAAAAATTAAATCATCAGATGAATTTATAGATTAATTAAATTTATAGAATAAAATTTTATTGATTTAATAACTTTTAAATAAGTTTCAAAAACCTTTAAAATCAAGTTTAGTCTAGATCATTATTTTATCCAAAAAAGTGTCAAAATAACAAATTTTTTAAGAAAAAGTGAAGGTGACGATAGTTATTTCACTGGACCGTCAACCATATATCAAAAAAAATATGATAACTTTTTGAATGAAGGGCGGGAAAATGTTATTTGCACCTTGGTGCCCTCGGTCATTTATTTATTTCTAAATCATATTGAATGAAATGACAATTAATAGATGCTGACTTTTTTTCTAAACTTTTATCATTATATAAACAATATGAAATAAATAAAAACAATTGGACACTTTGTCATATTATAAATGGAATATTTATATAAATAAAATGTTTCTCAAAATACACATTTTTTTTTTCGGAATTGTTATCATTCACATAAGTCATGATATTATACAGATAACATTGATTATGTAAAAGTCCAAACCAAAGGGTTGAAAGTTTAATAATAAATAAGATAATTATCAATATTCATACTTATGTCATCATTGATAATAAATTGATCATCATCAGTTATATTTGCTTCAAAACCAAAGTTTAAATCATCAATAACAACATTCTCTATTTTTTCAACTTTTGGGTTTTGCTCATTTTCAGATTTATTTTTTATGGATTCAATTGAAGGCTGAATGTTTTTGTTATTTCTAGCATTATCGACAGTTCGTTTGAGAATTGAAATCAAGTTTCCTATTTTATCTTTATTTGGTTCATTTTTCAATAAGAAATCATTTAAATATTTAATAAAAGTTTCATGAAAAATAAACAAGAAAAAACAAAGAATTATGTTTTTGTCTTTGGCGTTTGACTTTTTAAAAGTTCGAGGAGTGATCCATTTAAGATTACATTTTTTTTCTTCTGAAATATTACTAGCAATATTAAAGATTGCATCATTATATAAAGATGCTTTTTTGAAACCATTTATCTTAAATAACTCTATGACGTTAGGGAAAATATATATCCCACTTGAATATAGGCTTTCAACAGCAGGGAAAAGCATTTTCAATACACTGATCCTTTCTTTGTTTTGATGTGGATTTTGTAACTCTGCAATTATTTCGTTACGATATGATAGCTTATGCAAATCATTCATGTAAATAAATAAAATGATTTCTCGTTTGAATTTTTTGAATGCTTCCTCAAAAAAATTGTGAATGACATATTTATTGTTCAAATGTCATGAAATCTATTTATCCAAAAGCAAAAAAATTGATTAATTTTAGATCATAAATATTTAAGGATGCAATTAAGAGAAAATTAATTTTTTTTATTTAATTTTAATTTTTGTATATAGAAAAATTTATGATGAAAATGAATAATGGGTGAACAAAAATGCCATCCACGAAGTTGAATCAAGGAGTAAAATCCTAATACCAAAACAAGACATCAATCTTAAACCAAAATTTTTTTTTGTTTGAAATTGGCATGTTATTTCAAGACATATAAGAAAATTCATAGTCTTGTTTTTTGGTCTCAGCTCTGTACATTAGTATGGTTTTGCCCCCAGCAATGAGGATATGAATTAAACCAATGATTCCAATGCACTTATCTCTCTACTGATTTGTAATCAATTTTTTTTGAATTTATTTTATCAAATTTTTTCACATTAAATTATGATGCATGAAAAAAAATTTGCTGAAATTGATGCATATATGGTATTCAATGATTTTCAAAAATATGCAAAATTTTATTTATTAAGAATATAAATATAATTTTAATAAATTCTTTAACAAGCAATTAATGAAGTGCCCATCAATGATTGAACTCGCAATTACTTTTTCTGTAAATTCAATTAGAGATTCTGCTTTCTCATTGTTGACAGAATCAAAATTTTTTCTTCTGTAAAAAAAAATAGAAAAATTCTCCTGGGAGGAATCGAACCTCCTTTTCGGGTTTATCAGACCCGTGTTCTAACCAGTATACTACAAGAGATTTCTATTTAATATCAATTTCTTTAAAGTATAAACTTTCTAATACTCATTATTCAAATATATAATAAAATAATAAAAAACATTTATACATTCATATTTCATTGTATTTTTTACATTTTATTAGGCAGTTATATATATATTTGATAATTCTCAAGATATTGATATGACAATTTTTCAAAATATTTAAATGCTTTAACGATCAAAAATTGAAAGTTTTTATAAAAAGTTGATAAATTCAGGAAAAAAAAAATGTTTCCTGGTGTTATGAACGTAAATGATCCTTATGTGAAAGTAATACATAACGGAGAGAAGCCTTCCTGCGGTCGTATCACTTCTCACGGCTTGGGTAATTTGAGAAGAAGAACAGACCCCATTGTGGATTCGTCTACGGAGTGAATACTGCCAATTTCATTCTAATTTGCATTTTAATAATGATCGTTTATAATTTTTTATATGAACCATGAGTATCTTATCATGGTTTAAGACTCGGTAATAGAAACAGAATATTCATCTTCTTACGAATTATCACTATTTGACGAAGAAACCGCCAATAACTTCTGCATCAAAACAGTTTAATCAAAATAATATGTTGCTAAAATATTTTAGCATATTGAAACACTAATCTTGATTATAATTAGAAGATAAAACTTCATTCAATACAAAACAGAGAAATCATCATAACTGTAAAGAATCATACGATTGCTCAATACTTCTTTTCAATATAACTTTGAACTAAAAAAATGTTTTTGATTTACGACAATTGCTTATATCAGATTAAATTTATTATAGTATTGACTATTAAGTTCACATTTTATACACTACCTAATGCGTGTATGCGATCCATACTATTACATTTTTATAAAAAAAAAAAAAAAAAAAATTAAAAAGATTAATTATTAATATTTATATATTTATTATTATGTATATCTATTTGAATTTAATCAATTTATTTTAATGCTGGATGATCGTTTGTGAAATCTCTGAAGTCAGCATCCATTTTGGCTTTCATTCTATTGAAATCATCATCAAAATCATCGTCATGATGGAAACCAAAATCATGATCGAAATCAATTGCTGGAACTTCACAATCTTCATTTGTTGTGTTTGTTGTTGTGTTCTTGTGTCCTTCTGGATCTATTGTTGTCTCAGTAACTGTTGTAGTTTTATGACCTTTTCCTTTTTCATCAACGAAAATCTAGATTTTAGTTGTTTTTTCAACTGTTTGGCCATTATTTGTTACCGATTCGTGATTAGTTTTTGTGCTAACGCATTTCAATTGTGGTTTTGGCTCTTCAACAATTGGAGCTGGCTTTGGTTCTGGCTCTGGCTCTGGCTCTTCAGCTGGGACGCAATCTGACACTTTTGAAACAATTCTATTTTCTTCGATCTTAACAGCTGGAACAACTGGAAGATTTTCTAAGCAAATTCTTGCAGCAGCCAATTGAGTTAATAAAACTTTGATATCCATTTCGTTTTCTGATTCTTCTGGTAAGATGTAAACTGGAATTCCAAGTTGTTTCATGACATCAACTGCAAGTTGTGCATTGTGTTGTGAATCTTGTGGATTGAGACTGCCAAAGTTGACTTTGTCTGGTGCAAATGAATCTAATAAAGCACACATTGCTAGTGGGTATGGTTGGAAATTATGAAGATTATACTTGGATAAACGTTCGTTGGCCCAGAACATAAGAATATCGTTAAAGCTCATTGATTTTGTCTTTTCGTTGTTTAAATCGCCATAGGATGCTCTACCAATGGAATATCTTTCAATGAGAGTCCAAATGTAGCCACGGATAATTTTGACGTTGTTATCGTGGATATCTTTTCCGGCAATACCAATTAAATGAACACCATCTTCAAAGAACATTTGAACTGATAAATCACTGTTTTGAATCATTTCAACAGGTTTCTTTGGATCTGTTGCCCATTGCTTTTTAGGTTCTTTTCCTGTTAAAACCTTGGAAAGTTCGACAAATGCAACACCATTTGATAAATCTTTGGAGATCTCGTTAACTTGGATACTTGAATTTCCTTTGGCTAACTCGTTAGTGAACCATCGGCAGAAAACTTTATTTTCAAGTTCTATGTTTTGTTTAGGAGTAGAAGTCATTGCTTGTAATTAAAAAAATGAAATCTATTTTCATCTTTGAAAGAAGGGCATTAAATTTTATAAAAAAATTTGAATATAAAATAAAATTTATATTCATAAAATTTTCTGAGAAATTCAATGAAATATTTATATAAATATTGAATTTCTAAGAAACTTTTGTAAATAATTTTAGCCAATTGTATTGAATAAATGGATGATATTTCTATTGAAAGTATTCAAAAATGAAATTATTAAAATGAATATGATAATCACTATTGAAATGATAGTTGCCCTTGAATATCTGACTTGTTATCGAACTTAATAATTTGCGATGAAGAAGATGAGAGTATATAAACTAATTGAATAATGGTTTGTTATTTTATATAAAAAGGCTGATATATAATCTGTTTTTTTTGAAAAAATTACTAATTTCATTAAATCCGATATTGTGCTAAATTCAACAGACCAAATCATTCGAAAAACAAATGTTAGATATATACATGTGATTAATCTATTAATTCATATAAATTTTTAGCATTTGTTTAATCATATATTGTGCTAAATTCATCTCTGGTTAAAGTTGTTATTCTTCCTTCAATAACAGAAATTCCTGAATGCCTTTTTAATTTTTGCTCATCTCTTTAAAAAATTGGAATTCCTTCTTCAGTAACTAAAATTGGAATTTCTTTTTATTTTTTTATTTATTTATTTATTTTTGGCAGAAGAATATGACAGTCTTTTGTTTGTTTGTCGTGATATCAACAAATTATTTTTTTGGCCAAATATCAAAGTTATCAAACCATTAGCACTTTCTTAATGCAATAATCTCAGAAGAATCAAATTTCAATTGAATTACACTTTACATACAATAGATGAAAATGAAATGCATTTTCATCATCAGGAATTGAAGAAATTTCAATTCCACCAACAGTTTTTTTAAAAGTAAGTGAATATTCATTTCATGATTGTGCAAATCTTAAAGTGATTGAAATTCCAGAAAAATCAAAATTGGCATCATGGCAATGCTTGCTTCATAATTTTAATAATCCAAACATCAAAAATATGAAGCTGTCATTTAATTAAATCATCTTAAATTACTATTTATTCTCATTATCATTTACAAAAAGTTACACCTAACAGCATTAATAGAATTGTTTGAAAAAAATTGAATGGTATACATCACAATTTTCTGGTTTATATGGCTATTTATCTTCAGAAAAAGTGATGCAACGCCATATTACTAGAAAATAATAAAATATTTTTTTTTATGCAAATTCAGACCAATGATTTATATTTGCATAAATGATTTCAATATTTTTTAATAAAATAAAAAATATTCTTTCAGAATGATTGTAAAAAAAAGAATTTTTTCACTATTAAAAATAAGTTTGAAATTTTATTTAACTTTTTCAAATGTGTCAAAACCGTTTAATTATTTTGATAGAATTAATCGTATTGTCTTTTTGTTTGGCTACATTGTCTTTCTGGATTTCTTCAATGTGCTGTTTCTTTCCTTCGATATCTTTTTGTTTAACTGCATTATCTTCTTCAAGATCCTTTATGTTTAGTTCGAGATTACTTTTGAAGTTTGTTAAATCATAAATTTTCTGAAAATTTTGGACGGTTTAATCGATTAACATCCCTGATGCAAATAATATTAATATTATACACAAACAACCTTTTAGTTCCAATTTGAAAATTGAATTTACCATAAAGTAGTACAAAACGATTTAAACTTCAAGAGTGATGTGCTTGCCTGTTAATGTTTTGACGAAGATTTGCATACCTCCTCTCAAACGAAGAACTAAGTGGAGTGTTGAATCCTTTTGAATGGAGTAATCTTGAAGAGTGTTGCCATCTTCAAGTTGTTTACCTGCGAAAATAAGACGTTGTTGGTCTGGTGGAATTCCTTCCTTGTCTTGAATTTTGGCTTTGACATCTTCAATTCGATCTGTTGGTTCAACTTCGAGTGTAATGTGTTTTCCTGTGAGTGTTTTAACAAAGATTTGCATTTTTAAAAATGATTTGATTTTAACTTTTCATTTTCGTTTATAGTTTTACTCTCAAATTTATCAGATAGATATTCTCATAAAATTAATAAATTGAATGCATATATAATCATATACATATAATTCAATTATTGAGAGTATAGTTGGCTTTATAAAATTTTAAGATAAATTTTAAAAATTTTAAAATTTTGTCATGATAAAACCTCTTTTCCAAAGGGAGTAAAAAGATTTCATTTTTTATAAATGCAAATCTTCGTCAAGACACTCACAGGAAAACACATTACACTCGAAGTTGAACCAACAGATCGAATTGAAGATGTCAAAGCCAAAATTCAAGACAAGGAAGGAATTCCACCAGACCAACAACGTCTTATTTTCGCAGGTAAACAACTTGAAGATGGCAACACTCTTCAAGATTACTCCATTCAAAAGGATTCAACACTCCACTTAGTTCTTCGTTTGAGAGGAGGTATGCAAATCTTCGTCAAAACATTAACAGGCAAGCACATCACTCTTGAAGTTGAACCAACAGATCGTATTGAAGATGTCAAAGCCAAAATTCAAGACAAGGAAGGAATTCCACCAGACCAACAACGTCTTATTTTCGCAGGTAAACAACTTGAAGATGGCAACACTCTTCAAGATTACTCCATTCAAAAGGATTCAACTCTCCACTTAGTTTTAAGACTTCGTGGAGGTTTTTAAACTTAATTTGATTTAATAAATATTATTCATTTAATTACAAATTAATATCTTTACTATTATATTTTGAGTTATTACCTCCATTTATTAAGATATTCAATAAGCACTTGCACAATGTGATAATATTGTATGAAGCAAAATTTAATCTCAATTTATTACACTCTATCGAATCTCGAGCCAATATTTACACATATTTGAAAA